TGCTGAATCTTGAAATATGAACAAGTCCATAAGTATGTCCCAAAAGTCTTGGCACAAAATTCATTGGCTTTAATTTTAACAAACACAAAATAATATCAAGTTGCATTTGGAAACAAAAGTTTGTCTACTTTCTTTACTGTCAGTTGACATTTAATTATTTTGAAGTTTTCGCTTTAAGATATCGTATAAATTAGAAACAACAAAAAGTATCTACAAGTTGGCTGGGCAGGTACCCAAAGTTAGAATCTGTCGAATATTCCAGAATCAAATTTCACGCAAAACGACTTATCGAACGCGAATAGCGAAGTGCGAGAAGGGAATACCATATCTGAATCTCCCAAAAAGTGGAAGACCACGTACACTTACTGCACAAAGGTCAGAGAGATTGGTGAGAAGAGCAAAAAAACAGGTTGGAATGTCTTTAATATATAATTGAGCATCACAGAAGGTAGTAAAAACCAATCCTGGGGCCTTGACTCTGCTTTCTAGTAAACAGAGTCAGGACCACAAGGATTTGTTTGCTACCTTATGTGATGGCCAAAAATATATTGAAGTGCAATACAAAAATAGTCCCGCTTTCTAGGTATCGATAACAACGACAAAATAAACAATCAAATATTTTTACGGTCAAATTGCCAACTTGGAGAATTTGTACCTTTGTAGCTACTATGCTGAATTTTCTAGAATATTAGCCAATTCGGAGACACTTTTTGTTATTACGAAAGCTCAAAGTCCCCCACGCAGGTTTTGGAATCACCCAGAAAGCCTGGCAAACGTTCCTGGCTTTATTTATTTTTAAATTTCCAATCAAGGATTTTTGATGGCTCAAGATTAACAACATGTTCAAATATTTATTTTTATCATTTGTAAATTTTTATCATAACCTTTCGTTCACCACTACGCATTCATTATTTAAATTTAAGGTATATGAGCACATTATCCATACCAAGACATCGCGCAGCCCTGTTTCAGCGTTCTTGCTCATATAGCGCAGCCAAATATTATAATGCATCAGTATTAGGAATACAGCAAATGATAATAAATCCAAGTCACTATTAAAACAAAATACTTTAAATACACAGTAACACAGACATTGATGTAGCCCTCAATCTTTGTTGAATGTATTTTATATGCACTATCACAAAATTTTACACGTATTTAATACCTTATCAAGTATCAAGTAAAAGACATTATAAAAGTATAATAGTATACTTCATTTAGACTTTTTTATGTACTTCCAAATATTGGTTAAGTAGATTGGCCAATGGTTAGACTCCGCCATTTGCATCAGACTTTTTAATGATATGCTGTGATTTTAATGATGCAATGGAGACTTACATTATTATTATAATATCTGCTGAACGAACTATAACATCGGAATTTGGAGGTCCTTCGTGACTTCCTTGGATAATTTTAATTTGGAATAGTCATACGTTATGAGGCCTAATGCTTTTTAATGATAGGAGTAGCGAGAAGATGGAAAAGATGCCAAAACGTTAAAATTCACATTTCTGCTGAAGCTTCAAACTTTGAGCGCGTTTACAGAACGAACCTTTTTACCTAAAGCCCTGATATTCCATAGAGCCTCATGCCTCCATAGGTACTCTCCAGGAAAATAGTTGAGCCCGATGTGAGATATGTCCCGTCAAGCCAGGTCGTGGAATTTTAGTCCTCACACAATAATAATCAATGTCTTCATTGCACAACAGTACCCTACATATCTTGACTAAGTGGACGTACCTAGCCAGGCTATGCTTTCATTGAATGGGCCTTGAATAAACTTTGTGCCAAGTATTTTGACTCTATATCTCCCTTATTATAACTGCTCTGATTGATTTATGTTAAATGATAGCTCATATGATCTTAGATCTGGAAATAAACTCAACATAAGCTTATTGAGCTGGATCACATATATACCGCACATACGCACTTGTTCCTAAAATAATTTATTGGTATATTTATAACAACTTTAATAAACAGGAAAAAGTGAACTGACGCTGCCGCGTATAAGAATGTTCGCAGGATTTACATTTGATAAGCATACAACAAGCTCCGCGGCCATTAGAAAGTTACATATAGGTGTGTAATTTATCTCCTCTGGCTACAGAGAATGATCTCTTGCATTCATTCTAGCATTTATGCCTTGCGTTGCCAGTTTTACAAGAATTCCATTTCTAGTTGCATATGCAGCTATTTTTGCTTTATTGGGACAGTACAGCAACAAATATTGTTGTGGTTCAAAGAATTTGCAGATCGCATTGTATGTTGTTTTCGGGATTTTTCTAATCTGTCTATCTCAAAAAATTAGGTAAGAGCAAGTTGGTATATAGGTCGGCGTCAAACGCTGAAATCCGTCATTCCCTGAAATGCCTAGTCAGTCCTCGTATTGCCGGCGAACACCGTAAGTTTGATTATTACAAAGTTTGACTAAGCATTTCACTCATTCCCTGTAATGACTGAACAATTTCAGTCAAACCACGTTAACTTCGTTATTGCCTATTTTAGTCAAACGCTGTAATCAATACAGTGTTGCTCCAATGAAGTACATAATATAACAAGGTACTATCTAAAAGCAAAGAAGAATAGATTAAAACATTGCCTTTATTATTACATTATTGTTATTTTAATGAAGTATTTACTATATATACGGAATCCAGCAACTGGATGCTACTGTTGAGCAAGCCTATGTACGTTATAATTCAGGTTAGGTTCACAAAATTATAAAAATTAACTTACCTCCTTTAACTCATTTGTATTCCATGGTTTTTTCGTATTCACACTGTCATAGTAGAGGATATGGGATACTATTTTTTCTTCTCTCCTATTTTAAGAAATATGATCAGAATTAAGCCAAATTTGGGAAACGGGATCAAAGGATGAAGAAACATGAATATAAACTCAAAAGTATAATTCTTTCAACAAAAATTTACAAAAAAATAATTTGAAAACCACCTGAGAAAAGGTGGTGCAAATATGGAATACCTTAACTAAGCTAAAAAATAATGCACATTTTTACAGTTAACTTGCACCAATCGCAAATATATTAATATTTTTCGGCCCCAGCATATTCGTTATGTGCCCACATTGAGCACATCAAAGATTGTACCCATAATTCTCCTTTGATCAGCAGAAAACGCAGCCTGGCAAAACATGCATGAAGCATCGTCCTCATTAGGTTTTGTATGTCCTGGCATACTCTCTTAATCACTGTCAGAGTCGTCAAGCCGGAACTTTCAGATTCATCAGAAGAAACTGCGTTCTTTGGACGTTTTAATGTGGTCTGTATTTTAGGTTTCACGATCTTTGGTTTTGATTCTTTAGGATTTCTTTTTGGTTTTAAAGACTTGCCTGAGGACAAGTTTCTTTTAATGCCACGAACTTTTGCCTCTTTTTCAGCCTTCTTATTTATTGACTCCTTTAGTTCATCTTTGTATGGTGACGAGGTAATCACAGTCGAACCCATTACCTCACATCCGCTGTTAGTTTTTTTGCGGATTGTGTTTGCAAGTGGAGATATGTCAAACGGTGAAACTAATTCCTTTGTTATAGTGTCGTCAGCTTTTGATTCAGAGCTTTGCTCTTTTTCTTGGTCAATCGTCTGAGTTCTGATAGGCACATTAGCTTCACATGAGGTCTTAGAGCATGAAGGTTGACCGATATCGATAGGCTCGACCCAATCTTTAGAGCAGGATGGTTTGTTAACGTCAACAGGAGCAGTGGTTTTAAGGTCTTCAATGCCAACAGTAATTTCTCTTTTTGGTGCTTCTTGTTCTGCAGCAATATATGTAGTAAGCTTTAGTAAAAACGTTTCTGTTAAAAGAGCAAATTCCAGTGGCGCGAAAACCATTTGCCGCTATTGCGTAAGTCTGAACTTTTTCATAAGCTCTACCAAATAACTCCATAATGCCAAAAGGGCTCAGAGCCCGTTGGTTTTGGTGGATCCAAATACGAATCTCTTCAGTGTAATAGACTTGTAATGGGCCCATAAATGACTTATCCAACGGTTGGAGTTTGTGTATAGAGTGAGGAGGTAGACACAAAACAGTGACAAAATTTTCTCTTGCAAGATCAATAATTTCAATATTGCGAGTGTGGCTGTAATGACCGTCAAGAACTAGCAGGACATGGTTCTCTTTAGTTGGTTTAACGTATTGGATAAAGTGTCGAAACCACTGGGTAAAAATATGGGATTGTACCTAACCGGATGGATGTGCAACTCCTACGAACCCAAGAGGAGCTCCTTTCATTAGCTGCATGTTCATATTTTTTCTAGGAAAAATAACTAAGGGAGGGACGAGGTTTCCAGCAGCACTCATACAAAAAATGATTGTTATTAAAGCCCCTCGCTCTGCAGATGTTAATGAAGCAAATTGGCGGTTCCCTTTGAGTCCTACTACTGATGATACTTTACTTTGGACAGTCATTAGGCCTGTTTCGTCTACGTTATACACGTTGTGTGGTGATTTGTCTTTCCAGGAGGTCAAAAAAGCCATCCACCCTTTCCTTGCAACATCCTGCAGCTCTTGCAAAATACGTACTCGTTGGCTTCCTTATTGATAATTCTGGATGCCGCTTCAAGAACAAATCAATCCACGCTCTGCCTGCAGCTCCTGATGGAGAAAATGGATGTTTAATTTTGGGATGTAAGGCCATAAAATTTGGACTCTATAGCTAAGATATAATCCACTAGTTCCTTCTCTAGCTTTGAATTCAGAATACATTTTCTTCCCAGCTTTGTTACTGCAGCATTGTCTGGAGTAACTGTGCCATCTCTACTAAGTCGAAAGAGCGCTGTTCGTGGAACGTTAAAGGATCTGGATGCCCTGAGATATCCCGTTGTTTTTTCTCTAACTGCCTTGGTAGCTCTAGCCATGTCTTCTTCATTGTATTGCTTCCGTTTTTTAGGACTGGAAGGTCGACGATCTGTACGTCGTGGCATCCTAAAAACATAATAAATTTGAAAATACATTAAAAAAATAAGTGGTGCAAATATGGAATACCAGTATTCCATATTACCGACACTATACGTTTTCAATATTTGAGGTTATATCTAATCTATCAAAACAAAAACTTAAGCAAATACAGCGGCATCTTAAACTTTAGTTCATGTAGACTGCCAACGTACAGAATATTTAAATAAAATCATGCAATTAAAAAAAGGACGCTTAAATAACGACTTGCTTGAATAAATTTCGAGGATGCGAAAAACATAGGTGCACTTGTAACAAACAAAAACAAACTGAAATCTGCGCCCTGCAGTGTTCGGGTAATAAAGGACGATAAAATTCGTAAGTTAAACTGTATTTTGATAGAGGACGGCACTTGGTTTCTTCAAAACCTTGGTATTACGTATTTTAGACTATATTCCATATTTACACCTTCTCCTCTATTCACATTCTTGTAAAACAATTCTGAACGCTACGACATTTTTACAAACACAGAAAAGACGATGTGTATACTTAAGCAAATTAACACAAAACTGGTACAATGAATGGTGAATCAGGCAAATGTTGTAACAGTGTTTGACTGAAATTGTTCAGTCATTACAGGGAATAACTGAAATGCTTAGTCAAACGTAATAATCAAACGGTTGCGGTGTTTGCCGGCAATACGAGGACTTACTAGGCATTTCAGGGAATGACGGATTTCACCATTTGACGCCGACATATAAATTTCGAGAATGGGTAGGTACACCAAGGTTTGTTGAATCGGTTGAAAGATATTAGGATCAGATCCCACAACACTTCATCTACTGCAATAAATCCCTGGTTAGTGTCTATCACCAGCCTCATACAAATGAGCTCAGGTTTAATTTGAATATAGTTCTTTGGGCATAACTTTCATTCATATCTCAACCAAAAAATACCTTTTGAGAATGGTAGGGCGTAGTGCTGCCAGCACTAAAATATCCACCATAGCACAGTCCTTAGAGGTCAAGTGTACTTACTCAGGACTGCAGTAGGTACAAACACCATACTCTTCTCAACAGGTACTATATCCCTGAAAAATATGTCCAAAAAGCCTTATCTACTAATTGAAATTAACCCTATCTAGCGACAGTGTGTTGGTAGGCCATTCGAGTTTAACACATTTGTTAAAGAACTTTGATATAGGGGCTGCATTTGAAACATGGCTCGACCAGGAGAAATGTTAAGGGACGAGCAACTATATTTTTAAAGTTGTTACATGCGCATGGATTTTGCAATAGAGATGTGAGTACAAAAAATGCATCATGAATGATTTATCTACGAATGACGATTTAGGAAATTTGTAAGATAGTATTTAATTTTTTGATGCCAATGTTTTTTTCTGTAAAATAAAGTAGGCGATCATGATAGAATTTATTGGAGAACATGACCGAGACACCTGTAAGTATACGAGCAGACGCTTATACTGATTTATGGCACCGCCTGCGTCTGCTTGTTTGATAGATGCAAATAATGCCTTCGGATGCAAATTTCGCAAACAATGAGACAGCTATTGCACGCGACAACAGAGGAGGAATACCAATTAGGACTCATTTCATTGTCATTGTTGAGGCTATGCAGCGGCATTAGGTTTCCATCCAGCATACTTCTTCATTTTTGCATTCTTTGAGAGAGCTTAAGCTATGTGCTTTTTGTGTTAGTACGAGTTACGGCATTTTAGAGGTTTTATGACAGAGATCTCCATCATATAGACGTTTAAGTCTGTCAGTCTGTTGCCGTATTACCTTCAACACCAATAAGAGAGGGAATTCTTGCAGTCGATGAATTTCTAGATTTTTGGATATTATGGATTTTTGCATAAATACTTACCTTAAATCATCAAAAATCCGTCTGTATATTGTATGTAGCCACTTCGAAAATACTTGACCATATACGTATAACTGGGGAAACTATTATTCAGATTTTGCTGAAATTTTCACATAAGAGTACTTCCCTGCTAAGAACGACGAAGCTCTACAGTATATTCAGATAAGAGATAGACCGGACAAAAACAAAACCACGTGATCATCGAACGCTGTAACATTCGGCAGGGACGTATTAAGAGTCACGCAGTACATATTTTAGATAGTAGATGCTGCTTTGCGTAACTTTGTAGTAAATTAGCACAATTCGATGTGTATACGATTGGTGATGGATATAGGATCATGTGGGGGTGGGGTAAGAAATATATAATGATGTAAATATACATAAGGGTTTCAAAATTTTCGCTTCGATTTCCAGCTTCGGATGCCGCCTGATGTTTGGTGAAATACAGTCAAATATAATCTCAAAATGCGTTTAAATTAGCCTAAACTAAAAATAATCGTATATCTCTTAAAATTGCTTTTAGAATATTGATTAGTATATTTTTTGATTTCTAGGTAAGTATGTAACCAAATTAAAACGTTCAAAACGTAAAAAAATGTGCATGGTTGAACATTGTCAGAAAGTAGATTCTTGAATAGGTTTTGCCAAAATGGGTTCAAAAATGTCAATAATTAATTAAAAAATACAGTAGCTTTATAATTACTTATAACTTACCGAATTTGATGAACGACATCTTTTATTGGAAAGATGAGCTTGATGAGCTTTCATCATCGCTACTGCCTGAAGCACCAACGTCAATAATGAATGGCTCGACTTGTTCCTCTAAAATATTGTCCAGTTCCCACATTCTCTTTTCAACTTTGTCTTTCACGTGCTTAATACAGTTTTCCCATTTTTGCGCTGTTATTAATTCTAGTGCTTCTTTGAAAAGTCCTTTGAGGTCACAAAATTTAAAAGTTGTATCGTGCTTAGCTATATAATTTTTAACCTCTGCCCATATGAGCTCAATGGGATTCAGCTCGCAATGGTATGGAGGTAAACGGAGCACGGTTTTATTTTGACTTGCTGCCATTTCGTCAATGGCGTATTTTTGATATTCCGCCTTGTGATCCTTGACAATTCTTAATAATTGTACTTTCAGCATTGCTTCTTCAAAGTTGATATTTTTCGAGCGGAGCCAATTTTGAACATCAACTTTCCTTGAAGCCGTTGTTGGGACCTTCTCCATTCTTCGAGAATGATAAGGCGCATTATCCAACACAATTACTGCGTTTTCCTCTAAGTTCGGTAAAATTTTCGAAAACCACTGTTCAAACGATTTGCCATTCATTTCCTCATGGTAATCTCCAGTTTTCTTAGACTCAAAGCACCACAGACCGTCAACAACAAATCCATCCTCACTGCCAATATGGCAGATAATGAGCCTTTTCCCTTTACCTGGAAATCGAAGTACTAACTGGTGTAGATTTATTTCAATAAGCGAACCTTTTTCAAATGTTTTCATCACATTCAGCGAAAAAACATTGACATGAGTATCAGATTGCTATAATTGGGATTATTTAGTCATATTGAAAGAAAGAATATTGAACGTCGTATGATTACTCAGCGCTTCACAATTTAATTTAAAGTTATAAACCTTGAAAATGAATGATCAGGAACCTGAAATACGCGCAAATATTAATAATAACAAATTATAACTTTATAAAGCTTAAAGTATGAATTAAAATGATTAGAAATATTAGGAACGGTACACAATATAAAACTTAGTAACTTTTTTTAAGTTTATAATATTCGACATATTTTAAGATTATATTAAAAAATTATTGAAATATCGAAAACACATAAAAACATGGCTTAAAAAAGTTCTAACAAATGAAAATGACAATAAAACATCCACGCATTTTATCGAAAGTTATAAAAGTTTTGTTACTTGTAATATGTTTTATCTGCCCCCTGGAATTAATGTATAAAACCTTGTTCTCAAGGTTTGAAAAACATCCGATTGTTGTCTATAACTCGTATTTACCTGCTGGATTTTTTAATCCGGTGGACAGTCCATCTAGAAAGGCCCTCCTGGATGAAGTTACAGAATCATCAACCCATACTTTACTTGTAGAGTGTCCTGCGTTTACCCACGTTTCATCAAGGTAATAAATCTCCCTGTTTTGATTTCTATATTTCCCAGTTTTTGTTAAATAATCCCTCCTCCATAGCACAATTTCTTCTCTATCCAGTAGTAAACTATTACGACCCCGTTTTTTCCATTTGAAATTCAAATGCTTGAGTAACGCATGGAAAGTTGATCGTTTGAAATTTGGCAACGTTGTATCTCCATTTACCTCCTGCAGTACTTTATCTATAGTAGGTATTTCATTCCTAAAGAAGAATTCATGCACTTTCCTCCTAATCGCATGCTTATCAGCTTCATCCAATGATTTAACAATACTTTTGCGATGTTTACTGGTCATTGGCTCAGAAAAGGTGTGATTTTTTTTGTATTGTCTTAACACATTAAACACTGATGCGCGATACACCCCAACTTTGTGAGAAACCTTCACAACAATTTCTTTGATGGTTGATGCCTCGTTCTCCTCGCGCTCGATCTTATATATATTCAAAATGACCTCTTTCATTTCTGCACTCAGGTGTCTTTTTTTAGAGCGTTTCCTAGGTGGACTACAGGAGTTTACAACTTCATCGGCAGTATCTGTACTACTGGGCATTTTGCGCAAGCAGTTGATAACAATAACAATCAATAACAAGGTATAACAATAACAACGACAAACTCAACAACTTAATAAGATAACAAACGAAAAAGTCCAAAGAAATATCAAATTGCAATGATGCACACGACATACGTAACACGTCTGAACCTGAATGTGACTCTGCCTTGATACGACTGCTCTGCCGCTCGGCATAGGCATTTAATTGCGAATTGACAATGAGGGCTCCTGTTTTACGTCGAGACGGCGGCGTTAGCGTGAAAATCACCCGAACCTTTTGTTTACATCCGGTCTATCTCTTATCTGAATATACTGTATATGTGTTGAAAATCAATCAGACGAGACGAAGTGGAGGAAAAAACAGAAGTGTCCAGAACGACTGGAACGTCCCATAACTTCTAGCCATTTGTTGTATTACCAAAAGTATTTGGTGGCATTAGAATTGAAAAAAATCATTTTTTAATGTTTCTGGTACATCCGTTTACTTAGGAGTACCGTACAAGAAACGGCCACACATAATTGTTCGACAAGTGCCATTTCTCAAACGAAAGCATACCTTTGTACGTTTTTCGAACGTAACAATCATGTTGGTCACTTGTATCTTAAGTGTCTAAAGTAGCTGGGTCAATCTAAATACTTGACTCCTCTGTCTTGAAATCATGTAATCTCATTTCTATGATCATGCTTCTCATCCTGATTATTTTTAAGATTAGCAAATCGCGCTTCACAAGGAGAGAAAGATCGACCAAAATTATGAGCCTCAATTTTACACCCCCTGATCATTAGAGGGCGTATTAAAAATATTGTTTTTTTATATATCGAAGCAGCCGCGCAAACAGAAGCCTAAATGCTGGAACACCGCGGCTGCTATGATGATCCCAAAGAAATTTTGTTAATAC